AAAGAAAGAAAAAGAAATTATCGCATAGCAAAACTGCTTGGTTTGTATTCCATTCAACACAAGGCTCATGTTAAAGCAACACCAAGGTCCCTGCACTGTATTATGGCTCTTCCGTGCAGCCACCATCATCTTACACTCACCCATCTCCAACACCCTCATACCCACGGTTTACATAACACCAGCCATGAGTGACAAGAAAAAGTTAGATTCCACCTTGCATTTACTGTCAGCTCAACTTGTAGGCCCCAAAAGAAAACAGCGTCTTACTGGGGAGGGATATGTGCTTTCTCATCTATCCTCAGGCAATGCCAGGGCACTTTACAGGCAACAAAAAGCCCCTGGAGTAAGGCTGAGGAAGCAGGAAAAACAAAACTGTGAAGGACATTCCTCTAAGCTCACTGAGGACCATGAAAGGAGATGACTTGAATACTTCTCTTCCATAACTACTTCTGTGCCGGAAACGAAACCTAACCACTGAACATCTCTCTTCCTGCAAAGCATTCTGCCTGTAATTTGTTAGACTATCACCAAGAAAACTTGTTAAACCACCTTTTGCTCTATTTCGTTCTAGCCCTCTTCAGCGTGTGCATGAGCGTGTGTGTGAGATAAAGCAGGTCGCGTGACTTACAGGGCAGCACCTGGGGGACACGGGGCCATGCTACTGAAGCTGGCTCTGAAATGCTGCTGACAAGGGCCTAGCGCACCACATGGAATGCTGGGCATGGTTTCTGCTCATGAAGCTGCCGGGGCGCGGGGCCCAGGGACAACCTCTTATGCACTCACTCTTCTGCTGAACACTGACTGTTCCCAGCTGTGGATTACCATCAACATTTCAACGACGACTCTGCAGACAGATCTCACGTGGTATGTTTGTTGTTATGTAAGTAAAGGGTTCTAAATACATCACCACTAAGGTTCAAATCCATACTGCCAGGCTGCCTTCTAGAACTATACTAGTTTATGCCTCCACGGCAGGCTATGAGAGTGTCTGACTCACTGTGCCTGATGAATCAAAACAGCCTTGGCAAATCTAGTAAGTAAACAACGGGCATATTATCTTAACTTGTATTTCCTTTAATTCTAAATTGGTTGGAATTGTTTTCATATTTTTACCCCATAGTTACCTCTTGAAGTACACCAGTATTGTCTTAATGATGACTGCAGGTCACCAGTGTTTATTCTGAGACATCAGGACTGCATTTACCTAACAACAAGGCTTTCAATAAAAAATATCAAAGGATGGATTGAGACTTAAGACAGTTCAAAGGCTCATTAAGTCCTTCTCCTTTCACTTAGAAGGGCCATGAGACCACTGAATTTACACAGCACTCAGGCCTTAAACACCGGCGACTGACCCATCAGGGACAAGGTAAGCAATGTCCTTCTCACCTGCCGTTGCTCACTGCTGGCATTTTCATCGATTCTTACATAGGTGAGGTAATGGAAGTTCAAGAACATCTCTAAAATGTCCAACATAAGAATCATCTGTGATAAAATCAGCACCCGACGTCCTTCAGATTTCAACTTCTGAAGCAAGATAGCTAAAGCTTCCAGCTTCCCTGGGAAACGAATCACATCAAGACTGTCTCATCATCCAGGGCCAGCCCGGCTCACACGGGCCACACCACCAACTGCCCCATACCTGAATCGAACTGCACCAGCCTCAGCTCAGGGAACTGCAGCAGGCGCGGAGCCGTCGTCTGCCGCAGCTGCTGGAAGTAAGGTGCAGCGTGCTCTCTCAGGCCCTCCCTGAAGATCCTCATTCTGTGGCTGTACAGGGGTGGCGGCCGCGGCACCCATAGGGACGGGGGTGCTGCCACCACCGGAGGAATCACGAAGGCAACCCTGAGGAGCAGAAAGCATGTTTTATCACCACCAGGAGCCACACACCTTCACCCAGCATGGGGGCTCCCAAAAGATGCGGCAGAGACCTCCGGCAGTCCAAGTCCCAGGAAACAGCAGGGCTCAACACAGTCACATGGGGACGTGGCTGTTGGCACACGGGTAGGGGCCCAACGAGGCAGATCCTAACCAGTCCTGACCAACCACCACCACCTTAGGGACTAATTCAGACAGTCCAGGGCTGATCAATCAATGGGGGTGGATTCCCTAGGCCGCAGGCACTAGTTCAGAGATGAGCCATTCTCTTTCCAGTGTGTCTTCAGCTGGAAAGTTTGGGACAAAGGTGCACTGTCTCGTGGATCCTAGAACTGCTACAGTCTGTGCCACCAGGACGGGGGCCAGACTCAGGGTGAAGAAATCTTTAGGACAATGACAATATAGCGAAGATCGCACAGCCAACCTGAGGCCCACCTTGCAACCTGTGGAGGTCACCTGCGCCAGAAGGCCCTTGCTATGGACATCAGCTATGACTCACTCCCAACTGTATACAAACTGAAAGAATGGTCAAATGTTCAGTGAGGGAGCAGCACACAAAGACAAACCAGTACTCGAAAGAAAAACTCCAGGAGCCCAAGGTCACTGACTTAGCCACTCCTAGACCAGGAGAAGCCAGAGGTGGCTTGTTCGGCCTTGGAGAAGCACTCCCAGTTTTCTTTTTTCCCATTAATTCTGTTTCCTGATCTGAAAGCACTGAAATAGGTAGACCTGAAAGCTGAGCTGAGCCAAGGTACAGGAAGAAGCCAGGTTTCCCTTTGTAGACAGGATACAACTATGAGAAATACAACAGCTGTAAAGAAGGGAAGAAAACATGTCTGAAGCAGAGCCTGGAGACCGGGTCCAAACAGGGAGTGGAACGGCAAACAGGGTAACGCGCTCTACTGAAAGCAAGCTCAGTGAGAGTGGCCAGGTGCCCACTGTGCCCACCAGAGCTCGGATTTGCTCTCCATTAACACATGTTCTGAGCTCAACTCTGGCACATATTTGTCATCATGTAACGTTCACTCACTCATGAGGATCTTTTAATGCAGTCATTGTTTTGAAAGAATCAAATGGAGAAGAAAGTCCTTAGCAACACAGTCATTTGTCCCCAAGCACAGTGTGAGCTCAGTGCTGTGGCTCTGCCCCAGGGCTGCCAACTTCCTTCAGAAGCCGTGCCTGGCACTGAGACCCAGATAATAAAACCATCTAACTCCAAAGCTGAAGACCTCAAACAGTAACTTCAAAACAGACTGCTAAGGGACAGCGTGGGGAGAAGCCGATCGGAATAAGACGAATATCCACGAGACAAGAAGGGGCCTTGCTGGGGCGCAACGCAGCCAGAGAGCACCGAAAAGGCCACGAGGTCTGCAGTACCTGTCAATAACATCCTGCAGAGACTCTCGACACTGACAAAGCGTCAACATCAGCTCACTTGGACTTTCTGAGGATGAAGCGTAACTGTGTGCTGGCCCGGCCTCCTCCTCACGACGGCCATCCAGGGACCCACGCCACTGTACCCTTCCGTGGCCAGGCAGGGCACAAATCCTTAGCAAGTCTCTGCCATAGACTGGAGCTTGAGAACAGCGCCGCTCGTTGACCAAATAAATCTGATCCAGGCGCTCTTTCAAGAGTCTGGTCTTCTCCTCCTTTATCAAAAAGTGATGAAAAACAGTTACTTGAGAAATAGAACGACAAGTTACCGTCTTCACCAAACCCCCTGGAATTTCCCACGTATGGGATCCACTTCAATATCCAAGGTCTTATGTTACAGGAAATAGAGACTGAAATGCAGCCGAGAGCTACAGGAAACAGAAATGGAAATGAAGCAGAGAGCACAAGCATTCTCTTCTCTGTCAAGATGGGAAGTATTTCTCAAGACACAAGTGAGTAATTCTAATGCCCAGGAAGACTTGCAGAAGGACATAAAAAATACAAAAAGAGATTTTGGCAGTCATAAGTCCAGTTTCACTTCTTGTATTAGGAAATTTGTGTTTTAAAATAAGAATTCAGTAACATAACTTGAGGATTCACAGGAGCCTTTAAATATCACAACCGAACACAACAAGCCGCTCTTGGAAAGCCACTTGTCCACATGCACCAGGGTCTCAAGCTCAGGTGCTTACCTGGGTTGGCCCTCCAATGGGAGAAGCTGGTTTGGAGGCCGTTCCAGGTTCTCCCACAGCCAAGGCATTCACCGCCACACGGCCCGGAACGCCAACTACAAATGCATAAAGGAAGAGGTGAAAAGGAACGCCAAGTTCGCAGGATTTCATCTGCCACCAGCATGCTCCATGGAACCTCGCCCTCCACCAGCACACTCTGCAGAAAGTCATTCTGCAACAGCATGTCCCCAAGGCCTCATCCTCCACCAGCACATGGCTGGAATGTGCATGGCTCAAACTTAAATGCTTTAGATCTGCCACGGAAGCATGTTGGCTCCCAGGCCATGACTGGAGCTGAATGGAGCCAGGAGTTTATCCCTTTCCTTTGGGAAGCACTCCAGAGCCACCCAGAAGCATCCTAGCATACCTCCAAGGCCCTGGGTGCCCCATCGCCATCAGCACGTGGCCACCTCCTAGCCCAGGTGACAGCCTGATAACTGTGAGGCCTCTGCCTGCCATGAGCAGCCCAGCCCTGGCAGGACGTCCACCCAGTCCTCACGACTGCAACAGAGCAAGCCAGTGCCCGTTTCATATCCGTTCCCCGGAGCTGCTCCTGACATGACACCAGCTACCAGCCAGGGCCAATGAGGAAGGCAGAAGCCATGCCACTTAGTGTGGCAGACTTTCCTACAAAGATGTGGTCAAAGAGGTGTCTGAGTGCTGAAAAGGGGCCCAAGGGGTTAAGAGTAACCCTAGGGGAAAACAAGGGGAGAGAGGCTGAGGTTGTCAGAACTCAGCACTTGGGGGTAGGGGTGTCTGGGCTCAGACCCTCAGGGTCCAGGACTCCAGTTGGTACTGGGGTCTCTGAAGCTGAGGAGGGCTTCCACAGGACAGTGACTCATCAGCCCGCGAAGAAGGGTGCAGCAGCTGGTTCTGGAATCCCCAAGATGCCTGGTTCTGGGGGTAGGGGCAAAACCTGGCGAGTAGAACTGTTGACCACGCTGGCATGCAGGACTGCTGCTGGGTGACGCTAACAGGACTGGAGAACAAGCCATGGCCCCTCCCCACTCCAGGCTCGCAGCCTCTTCTGATGCCTAACAGAGCCTAACAGGTTGGCAGTGGCCCACCCAACATCACTGCCCACTATGCAGAGGTGGGGCTGGAACTGAACAAACACCACTCGGCCACCAGGACAAGGGCTCCATCCCAAGGAGACAGCCTCACCCCTCTAGGCTCCCAGCTGCCGCCACGGGTCTTTGGGTTCCAGAGGACACACCACATCATGACAGAGCATGTCCAGGGAGACCCAGAGCCAAGGCAGGGGCAGAGTGAAGACTCAGAGGTGAAGCAGGTGGCGAGACAGGATGAGGAGTGGCAGCTCGGGCCGGACAAAGAACCAGGCCCTGCGTGGGTGGCCACACGGTCCCACTCCCAGGGGAGACTGAGCACACTGAATGTGATGGCGAATAACAAGCAAGATTTCTCATGATTCCAAATTTCTTGTGAGAACACAAACAAAACAAAACCCTAAGGACAGTGGAGGCTGGTTATATCCAACCAATACCTTTGAAAGCACAAGAAAAAGAAAATAAATCAGGCTGAATGACACATCTATAGAAATCAGAGATGGCCACACACTAGACTGTGCTGTTCTGAGATACAGTCAAAGACACATGAATGCCTTCCACTCGCCTTAGATGGAAGAGAAAGAAGCTTCCAAGCCAAGTCTCCCTCCTGCTCAGAGCACCCTACCTTGTGGGGTCAAGGGTGCAGGGCTGGGACCGCCGGCCAGGGGCTTGCTTCCCAGGGCGCCGTGCACAGCGCCCGCCTGAGACACGGTCTGCATCACCACGGGGCCAGGGGCTCGAAGGTAGGGTTGCCCGGGGGCGGACACGATCTGGAGGACGCTGCCTGCAATCATAGGTCCGCTAGGTGTCAATAACAGGCACGGGTACATCACAGTCACACACTCCAGGCACTTCCAAACAGTACAAAGTAAGTCGACAAACTGAAAATCAAATCTAAACAAACAAATCAATGCAAAGTTCAGTCACTGTGAGAAAAGTGGCAACCCATCACCAACAGTGGGTGACGACACACTAAGAGGCAAGGTCTCTTGCTCAATGTCAAGAAAAGGCCATCTACCCTCTGTCCCTTACGGAAGGTGTGTGATACACAGCTGCTGAGGACCTGCTGTGCTGTTCGAGGTACTGAGCTGGACATCCTCACTCCCAGATCACCGCAGTCACTTCTGACAGCAGTCAAGGAGAATGAAGAAATGGAACAAAACCCTGTTTTTAGCCCAGATGCCTGTGGCTTTTCTGCTGCTTTTTAAGGAGGCTGCCACTTTGGATCTTGTATGACTGCATCTTTCTGAATTCTTTTACTCTGGAGATAGCTTCCCATGTCATACTTTATGAAAACTGGCGGCCATCAGAGATGTTACCAATTGGCCCCACCTCTGTGGGCCAAAAAAATGTTTAAAAAAAAAAAAAAAGGAAGTAAACCAAACTGAATCGTTTCTCTGTGGCAGGCCTTGTTCTGCTGAGATGTGTGTCTCTCTCCAAGGAGGTCAGTGGGCTCACCCCACTAATGACAAAACCTTCCACCCTGACAAATACCACAGGCAGCGATCATGAGGAAAGCACTGGGGAGGGCGGTCGCTGAGGCTGCAGTCAGGGAAGGTGGGGGAAGGTGCCACCGGGGCTGCTGTGTGGGGGTGGGAGGGAGGCAGCCCCTAAGGCTGCTGTCGAGGAAGGAGGGGGAAGGTGGCTGCCGGGGCTGCTGTGGGTGCTCCCTGAACCCTAAACTAAAACAGAGAGAGCTAATGATCCCACCACCAGGACAAGGCACCACTCAATTCCTCTCCCTCACTTTTTTTAAAGAGCAGTTACTATATAAACACACTGCTCTTCACCAAAGGTCTGGGCTTTGGGTCTGGGAGTTAAAATTAAGTCTGTTGATAGAAGAAAATGATTTCTCATACATAAAATTACTAATCCTGTGGTGTTTTGGGGACAATTTGTCTCACACCTATATTAGAAAGCAGCAAATATTTCTGTTACTTATCTATTATTTAGAGATGGGAGCCTCACTCTGTGATCAGGCTGGAGTGCAGTGGCACGATCTCGGCTCACTGCAGTTTCAACCTCTGGGGCTCCGGTGATCTTCCCACCTCAGCCTCCCGAGTAGCTTGGACCACAGGAGAGCACCACCACGCCTGGCCAAATATTTCTACTTTGATCTACAAAATACGAAACTCTCTTCAAAGGGCAGATGCTGGGAACGAACGTGCCTGTTGTTTGTCTGACACGCGTCAAGCGCAGGCAGCCCAGTGGCTGCTGAACGGCGTCTCGCTGGGCCGGTCCTCCGCGGACCATGAGACGCATCATTGGACACAGGGAAAAGCCTGAAGCGTACATGCACGAAGCAGGCCTGCGGGCAGCAGGGCTCACGGTGAGGCGCTTTTGTCAATTTCAGCGTCAAGTGCTCTCTCTTCCTTATCCTTACCTTGCAGCTGCAGCGGCTGGCCCGCCGTGAGCTGCCGGAGCTGGCTGTGCGACAGGGTGAACTTGCTGCCCTGGAACTGCAGTGTCACCGGCGTCTCCGGCTGAGCCACGCGGCTCTGTGGTCCTGCGATGGATGCCAGCTGAGCTATTTTCACTACCTCGCCACCTGTCGAAACGGAGATGAAAAGGTGAATTCAGATCATTTTGGAAAAAATTTGGGTGTGTCATATTGACAATCATTTCTTGTATATAATGACCATCTATCATAAACTGAAGCACCACAGAAATGTTTATCAGATAGTGTTTTCTACAACTTTTTAAAAATAATTATTTTCATTAAAAAGAGAAAACAAAATGTCAGATTTTAATGGTTAACTTTACTTAACCATAATTGGTAGGGATTTTAGATATCAGATATTGATAATATTAAGGAAGCTATTAAGGAATATTTTACTTTTCTACCCAAACAATAAAAAAGCAGCAAACATCAAAAACAGCAGAAATCAGCTGCATGAAGTGGCTCATGACTGTAATCCCAGCACTTTGGGAGGCTGAGTTGGGTGGATCACATGAGGGCAGGAGTTCGAGACCAGCCTGGAAACAGGGTGAAAACCCATCTCTACTAGAAATGCAAAAAAAAAAAATTTAGCTGAGGCATGGTGGCGGGCGCCTGTAATCTGAGCTACACAGGAAGCTGAGGCAGAAGAATCGCTTGAACCCGGGAGGCAGAGGTTGCAGTGAGCTGAGATTGGGCCATTGCACTCCAGCCTGGGCAACAAGAGTGAAACTCC